GGGGGAGAAGGCAAAAAAAAGACAGACACTTTGGAAGTATGAAGCAACTTATCTGGGGAATCTTTTAAACAAAGTGAGAAATAAGAACAACCAGATCTGGACAAATGGATTTAAAAGAAATCACATAAGATGTATTTCTGAAATGAGTTAATCAGCTCAAAAGTGACATTTGGCTTTCTTTGAAACTGGACCCTTTCAGGTTCGGGATGGCAGAAAGGAGGATTGGGTAAGGGCACCAGTGCCGTGCGGCTGCAGGCACCACGCAAAGAGGAGATGGAGACGGCAGTTCCCAGGGAAGGGCTGCGGCTTAGTCACGTAAGCGTCATATCTTATTTCACAAATAGACTCACCGATATCCATGGGTCTTCTTTTACAGTGAGATACAACTCATAGCACCCACAAACGACAAAGTCTGGCCCACGAGAATAAATTCTAACCCATGCAGATTAAAACAAATTTTGGCAATTTTCCCCAGCGATTTCCCTCCCTTCCCCCTTTTTTATATTAAGATTCATTTTTTAATTACTATCAAATTTCCCTTGATTTAGGATACTTTCTAACTGTATAAAAGCATTATGTAGATGACATGCCATCAGCAGTAGGAAAATTAAACAAACAGTAACAAATAACATATCCTAGTTTCTCAACGCAAATGCTTTGCAAACTTCCTTTCTGTGTCTGAGCCACAGCTCAGAGGGACTGTAATGCTACCACCTTTAGAGCATCGTTAATAGCCTGGATTAGTACAAATTAGTGGGATGTGTTACTTACAGAATTTCTTTCTAAGACAAACCACTCCAAATTACACCCTCACTGTTCAGCGTGAGACAAGGTTAGCCGCGTCAGAGGGACATCACTACCTGCTTGGGGATCCGTTCCAAACGGACCAGTGACCTCCGCCTCACTTCTGCGCAAGAGGCACGACTTCACCAAACAGCTCCTGCAGCTGGCACGGGCAGGCGCCCTGAGCTGCGCAGGGCGGTCCCAGGCACCGCGCATCTGTCTCACGCTGGAAGCAGCTTAGTGCATCCTGGCTGCACGATGAAAGAGAAGTTTACACGACTGCTACCTGTCTTCTGAATGGAGACTGAAGTCACCAAACTCTTAAATTACAAGCACTAAAATCACAGGGAAAGCGTAGTTTTGTGCAAAGCGGACTTTTGAAAAGACTTCCCCGATTATTTCATTTTGCCTAACTTACCTACTGGCAAATGAATAACCAAAGCTCACAAAAATAACGCAAATAATACAACTTGACCATGTATTGAGTATGAGTGCTGATAACTGATGGCAGTGGGAGTCTTCACTGCTTTAGATTTTAAATAAATGCAGATAAACAAGTATTAAATATACTGCACACTAAAAAAAACCCTCTTTACTTCACATCCCAAAACATGCTGCAAAATAAGCCACATAAGGCAATTATTTTTTGTTTCTCAAGAAATTAGTCTAAATGAAGACATATTGAATTTTCTGCATCATCTGGTTTCTAGCTTTGGTAATGAACTGACATTTGAGGATACAAATATAAGCCAGCTATTTTACTCACAGTCTCTCATTCCTTCCATCACGTTCTTCAATTAATCCTTAGAGTATTTGAATTAAGGCTCACACAGTAGGTGCATTCTTTTTAAAAGACCTTGAACAGTAGAGATAGAAATTTTAAGAAAATGAGCTGTGGAAAAATTCAGTGTGGAGTAGGATCTGTGGCTTGTATTTTAATTCACTTTTGAGGTAAGGTCATTCAATTAAAATAAGATTGTATCTGTGGAGAGATAAAGCAGGAAAGTGACATAGACTTTTGACTACTTGCATCCTACTTCTGGCAAAAAGCATTTTCCAGCCAGGCCGTGTAAGGAACAAACTGAAAACCGAGTTTGCAAATCCAGGTTGAGGGACCAACTCTGGGTGTTCCTGAATTTCTTCTATTACACAAGATGAAACACACAGAGATCAGTGCAGATTCTAGACACAAATGGATCATTTTCTGGGCATCAGAAAATGCCAGTTTTCTGCTGAAAAGCTTTCTTTGTGCCTGAAGTAACAGCAGTATGTGAAGCTGAAATACATTGCACGTGTGGCAACGGGAAGCGTAGCATCCTGCTAGCTGAACAGCAAGACACTGAAATTCAGCTCTCCAGCACCAAGATAAAGCCAAACACCTTTTTTCTTCCCATGTCCCAGGTAAAAAACACGGATAAATATGTTTACAGGGAAAGTCAAGTGACAGCACAATACAGGACTTTCGCTCCGTGATTTCATTTTCCTCCCGGGGTAAGCTCCTCTGCATAAAGAAACAAGCCTTACATAGCAGAATGGATTGCATCCACTTATAAAAATATATTATACTTTTTGTCAGTAACGAATGAACGTTTTAGAGTCATGCTCTGGGGAAAAGCGAGTCCGAGGTCGCCACATGGCGGGCGATGGAGGCTGAGAGGAGGCAGCTGAGGGCAGGGCGCGCGA